AAACACCTATTAATATATAGGGGAAATTGTAAATTATAGGGAAATTGCAAGTGAAGAAGACCAACGCAGAATGTCTAAAGACCAAATATCCTCAATGGACCCATTTGGCTTCAACCAAACAATGTTGCGAGTGTTTGTGAACATTATGCTTCCTTGGGTACCACCATTATAGGGGGAGGCATACAAAATGTGCATTTTAATATCACAAACCACATGATATGTTCATTTAGTGCTCTCTCAACAAAACTGTCAAACTAGAGCAAAATAGTTGGAAAAAGTAATGAAAGAAAAAGGAAAAACTATTCAATGTTCTTAGAGTGTTAGGTATTTATAATTTAAAATTAATTATTATATATCATATCTTTTCATATTCTTTAATTACTTGACACAAGTTATGAGTTTTACATTCTCTATCAATTGCAATACCTTAAAACACCACATGACCATACTCCCAAAACACTCAATAACCATTCAAGAAAAAGATCCTTTCAATCTCTTTTTGCTCTATAATGTTATTTAGTATTGGAAGCCTACAAAATGACAAGTTAAACGAATGAATATAAATGTTAAAAATTGTTTTGAAACGATTTAAAATATATTAAAAATAATATGTTTTTTATTTATATTTATTTTTTGCTTTCGTCCAAAGCACTTGTTAGAAATATAGGGGATCTTTTAAGAAATTCCAATTTGACAAGAAATAAATGACAAAAACTCTCCTATCCAATCAACTAAAGGGAAATTTTGGGATTAAGGAACCGATGTTTCGATTGGATGTTTAAATATAACATTCTACCTAACAATAATACCTAAATATTTCCCATCTATAGCATGCAAAGGTGCTCAATTTGGTAGCAACACTACTAAAAAAAGTACTTTTTGCGACCGCTACAAGCTGTCGCAAATAATAAAAAGACAGTCGCAAAAAACCTTTTGCGACGGCCCATGCGACGGCAAATGGGGGTCGCGAATGATTTTTTTATTATCAATGTTTTGGTTTGTAATAAATTACACCAAATAAGTTCAATTAAAAAAAAAAAAAAGCGAGATTCAATTGTCTTTCGCATATATATCAATTTATTATTTATCTCATATTTATCAATCCTTGCATATGTATGAATGAGTAAATGCTACAAACATATGATTTATACATAGAAAAATATTCAGAAAAATTTAATATATGATCTAAATTCATTCAAGATGTTTATAGGTTTTATTATACAAAACTTGAGTTTTAACTACACATTATTTTCTTAGATATATTTTTGTGTATGAATTTTAGGTACATATATTTATTGTATATGCGTTGGTTCATTTTCTTTCTCCTTGTTATTTTTATTTATTTAGGGTGTAATATTACTCCACCTAATGGCCTCTCTCTCACTTATGAGCTTGATGTATATGACGTTCACGTTCTGGCCAACATGGTCCGAGCAACGTTGGACTCACAAAATATTTTTTTTAAGTGAAAAATAACATATGAATAAAAAATTTGAAATAAATAAAATTATAATAAGGGTCATGCTACATCCCCCTAAAAAACATCCCCCTAATCCCCCTAATTTCCATATTAAGTAAAGAAAAAAAAAAAAAGGAAACAGTTGCCAGAAATGGAAATTAGAGGGATTAGGGGTGAGGATTTTAGGGCTACAAATCATTTCCCTTATAATAAATGGAGTGCTAAGTAGGTATAAATGATTTACAATTAGTTTCTTACTTACTGAATATGTCTCACTTGTATTTTATTAATTTTTTTATTTAAGATATTTCTCATTAGAAAATAAAAGTCTGTAAAAATTGTACGTAAAAATAACAGTGAGTGTAGAAGTCTTTAATGGGCATTTAAAAAGTTCACCACTTTGACAGATAAAGCCCCAGTTGAATTAGTTTAGTTTGCGTATGGAAATGGATGTCATAGTGTGGCCCTTGAAAATGATATGTATGAAACATTATTGTAGTTTCAGTTTTGTAACTGATTAGAGTGAATATATATTTTTTTTTCTTAAAACAAATTAGATCATCTAATTCTTTTATTGATCTATATTATTGTAATTTGAAATAGTGAGAATGTTAGAGATTTATGCTGTGTTTGGTTGGGGATTTGGGGAAGGATTTGGAAAGGAAAAGGGAAAAGGTTTGTGAAATTATGTGAAATATAGGTATATTTTTTTCACATTTCACCTATCTTTTCCATGTCCCTTTCCAAATCTGTCCTCAAATCTCTCAACCAAATACAGTATTAAGATTCAAATCGATAAAATGTATCATCATTTTATTGTAATCTAACTTACTTACTATAATAAATTAACAATATTTTGTAACTAAAAATTACAATTCGACCTTACAAAATAAATGGCATAACCTCAAATTCTCTTGAGATAAACTTAAATTATGGATTATAACCAATTTTAATTTTAATTTTAATTTTCATATTCATACATATTAATTGACTTTTCACCTTGAAATTTGAAAAGCATTTAAAAAGTCACAGTTTCGATAAACTTGGGAGAAGGCATTTACTTGCATGCATGTACACGGAATTTTTAGTATTTTTTTTTGGAAATTTAATAGAAAACATTAGGAACATTCAATTGGACAAAATGGTTGTTTGTCCATTGGAATAAAGCCAATTCCATTTGGAAAAGTGTGTCCAAACAAGGCCGTTAAAATATTTTTTTTCAATAGATAATATGGTTAAATTATACCAATTTTTGTTTATCAAAATTAGAATAAATGCATAATTTTAATATAATTATATTAATTTTTCTTAAATTTTAAATTACAAAATATTTTACACTACTTCATGAGAACAACGTCAAATTTTTAACAATAGACTATTTTATTTTAATATAACTCTATTTTTCATCTTATACTAATTGTTTTTAACAAATATTTTTAGCACACTTGTCCCATCTCCACAAGCCTACTACACAGTGCAAAACATCCACCAGCATAAGTTCCACTACCACACCCCGATTATCCATTGCCGGCTCTGCTATATCTATTTTCATTGTTAACCCCGCTGAATTACCAAATAACTTAGAGGTCTTCTATTTTCTTCATCACTCTTTCACTACACATTATATTTTCACCACCATTGCCAAACTCTACCTAAATCACTCCAAACTCCAACACAACCAAGTCAACCCTTACCGAAACACCAAATCAATACCTAAATCACTCCTAACATCATTTTATAGCCACTACTACTGTTACATCTTTATTTTTCGTACCTTCAATGAATCGACATGCACATTTGCAGTACACCAAGGCCATCACATGGTTATAATTGTTTTTTTTTGGCTCTCAATGAAGAAATAGAAGAGGCAATGAAAAAAAAGAGCAATGGCGACTAATAATTCGGTGAGAGGGAAGTAGAGTGGCAAGTTGGGGTTGTGTACAAAAAAATATAATAAAAAAAATTAAACAAAGTTGAAAATGAATAAAAAGATAATTTTCTACTATTATAATTAACTTTGCTATTAATGGGGAGACTGATATTAGTGTTGTGTAAAATATCGCTTAACCCGTTAAACTGAACTAATCCGCACTGTTATATTTACTAATCATGGATTAAACTTTAAAATTTATAATCCGTCTTCGAAATCGTTCTACTCCATTATAGTTAATATATATATATATATATATATATTTTAATTTCTAGTAAAATATCAAAATAAAAATAAGTGTGAGAGATATTTAAGATGTGAAATCTACTACAAATTAGTAGTTATATATATAAAAAAATATCATGTAAAATTAGTTTGTGTTATATACATGAAAAATATTATGCAAATTAGTGTTATATATCAACTAAATATTTGATAATTGGTTAGAATATTGTTCAATATGTCAATTTGACCAAAATCGCCCAAATCGTGATTTGCTAAACTGCTAAAATCCACCAATCTGCCATTCGATTTATAATTTTATTCTCAAACCGTCCAAACCACACCGCAAAAACCCATAATTGATATAATTATGTTAAAATTACGAAATTAATAATAGTTTTTCTAAAACTCAAGTAAAGGATATTGTAATTTTACGAAAATAAAAAAAGAAATTATAATTAAGTGATATTTAAAAAATAATAATTATAGATTCATATAAAAGTATAAGATTTAAATTATTAATTATTGTAAAGTTTACCTTAAATAATTTTAAAAAATAAATAAATATAATGAAAAAACAAGAAAAATCCAAAAAAAAAAAACCATCAGGGCCGGTGCCCCGTCACCGGATCTTCGCCTTCTCCATTCTCTCTCTCATCCTTACCCACGTTTCTCTCTCTCTCTCTCTCTCTCTCTCTCTCATCATTCATCATCCCATCCGCTCGCCTTCTCGCTCTAAAACTATCTTTCCTCTGTCTCTCTCATTCCTGTATATCCTCTCCCAATTCCAAATTTTCTCTTCAATTCTCAAAAGTGACAAAAGTTAGACAGATAGAAGCAATTATTTTCACTTTTCTTTCTGAATTATTATACCAACCATCTCTCTCAAAAATATTATGCAAATTAGTGTTATATATCAAATAAATATTTGATAATTGGTTAGAATATTGTTCAATATGTCAATTTGACCAAAATCGCCCAAATCGTGATTTGCTAAACTGCTAAAATCCACCAATCTGCCATTCGGTTTATAATTTTATTCTCAAACCGTCCAAACCACACCGCAAAAACCCATAATTGATATAATTATGTTAAAATTACGGAATTAATAATAGTTTTTCTAAAACTCAAGTAAAGGATATTGTAATTTTACGAAAATAAAAAAAGAAATTATAATTAAGTGATATTTAAAAAATAATAATTATAGATTCATATAAAAGTATAAGATTTAAATTATTAATTATTGTAAAGTTTACCTTAAATAATTTTAAAAAATAAATAAATATAATGAAAAAACAAGAAAAATCCAAAAAAAAAAAACCATCAGGGCCGGTGCCCCGTCACCGGATCTTCGCCTTCTCCATTCTCTCTCTCATCCTTACCCACGTTTCTCTCTCTCTCTCTCTCTCTCTCTCTCTCATCATTCATCATCCCATCCGCTCGCCTTCTCGCTCTAAAACTATCTTTCCTCTGTCTCTCTCATTCCTGTATATCCTCTCCCAATTCCAAATTTTCTCTTCAATTCTCAAAAGTGACAAAAGTTAGACAGATAGAAGCAATTATTTTCACTTTTCTTTCTGAATTATTATACCAACCATCTCTCTCTCTCTCTCTCTCTCTCTCTCTGTATTGCCAGCTCTATGTGATATACTCTCCTCTCTCTCTCATCATCATCTTCTGGAAAAAGAAAAAACAGAGATCTCAGAAGGTACCTCAATCCTCTGATCACTGCTTCATCAGAATTCATTTAGATCTCTTGTTTTTTGAAATGGGTTAGCTTATCTGTTTCCAATTTGACTGTAATTTAAGATTTGCTATGTTGATCCGAGCTTAGACGGTTTATTTTTAATTGGGTAGGCTTTAGTTGTGATTATTAGTTTGTTAATTAATCTAATTTGAGGAATGATGTGTTATTAATTTTAATTGTTCGTGATTAATGCTTTTTGATTGATTGATTGATCTCTGATTTTCTATATGTGTTGAATCGTTATGTGGAATGAAAGTGATGTGATTTTGATCTGTAATTGAATATGAGTGAGTGATCTTCACATTGATCTATGTTTTTTTTAAGGAATAAGTGGGACTCACACATGTATCATTAAGGGTTTATGAAATTCTTGAGGTTTTTGATGTTATGATGATGCTCGCAATCAGCAGTCTTGATTGTTTTTGTTCTATGATTTGTCGACGTTGAATGTGGGTTGGAATGTTGATTCAGTTGGCAGTCTTCTTCAACCATGTCGTTGAGGTGGATTACTGCATAATCATAATCAAATTTTTGGGTATGTTTTGGAGGTATTGGAATGGTGAGAGGGCTGCATAGACTGCATTTTGTTTGGCATGGTTGGCTTTAAACGCATCTGCCCCACTATGCTTGGCGTTTAATTCTACTCTTTTTGAAGAAAGACGAGGATACTAATGGTAAACAATGTGAGAAGTGTATTATACAGCAGGTAACAGGTGTGCTAGTGGAGCAAATGCTAATTAGATAACTTTTAGAGGTCAGTAATTATGGTACTTAAATTATTTGCAGCGGATATCCAAATGAATCATTGGTACGGATTTGCAGAATGTGAAATAATGTAGCTTTGGATTAATGCTGAAATGAAACTGTAAGACTGTGTTTGGTTAAGGGATTTGAGAAAGGATTTGGAAAGGAAAAAGGAAAAAGTGTGTGAAACTAGGTGAAATGTAAGTATGTTTTATTTACATTTCACCTAACTTTTCTCTTTCTCTTTCTAAATCCCTTATCAAATCCCCCAACCAAACACAGCGTAATGGTATTGGCATCATACCATTCCCAGAGATAACTTTATGGGTCTACTTCAAGAAGTAATGAATAACAGAAAGATTACCAAGTTTTGGGTTGAGATGTCTGGGACTTTGCAATTTAAGGATTGTAATTGTAAGATGGAAGTCAGTGCTGCTGACTACTGTTTTTTTATATTAGATCTTTGAGGATTTCAAGCTATTTACGAAGAAAAATGATTGGGAGCTTTAATAAAGAAACTCTAATGAGTTTTAATGGGAGTAGATCCTACTGTAATGTGATGTTTTGGTTTTAGTTTTATTTATTTTTATTCCCTATCACATTATTAGAACTCAATTAGAACTCCAAAATTAGATAGATGTATCATTGCCAAAAGTGTTAGATATGTGAGTAACGATGCTATCTCATTACTGACAATCTGATGTGTGACCAGAGGATGGATCCTTCAATAAATTCTTAAATTTACTGAGACTTTATTGTTTCTTGGAAGAAGAGAAATGCGAACTTGAATAATACATGGCCATTTGATGTTAACTTCTTGGTCGAAAGATCTTCTTTGATGAGATGAGTGGTGCACGCTTTGGGCCAATATGGTCCCGATTAGGTCTGTACCTGATTCACCACTTGCAAAACCCAGGACTGGTGGGAGGGGCGCTAGGTTATGACGCTCTTTTTCCTTTTTCCTTGTTTCTTCATTGACAAAATGGTGAGATGATATGAATTTTAGCCTCATTTATTCGATTGTTTTTCAATTTGGATTGAAAATTGGTACTTACCATGAATATTTATTTATTTTTGTTATTGTCTACTGCACAAGTTTAAAATACTTCGGGCATTTGTAGCTTAGTAGTTTAAAATTTGAAATTACATGCTTAATCAATTGCACTTTGAAGTTTGAAAAGTTGGGATGTTTTTAATAAAACTTTTCTGGTTTTAAGCTTATTTGATTTTTTGGCTCAAAATTCTCAAGTTGAAAAGGCTAATAATTTTTCCCCCTGAGCTTGGTTTTATGTCTTTCTTTCAAATTTTCCACTTCTATACTCACCCTAAAAAACATTTCCACTTACAAATTTTTTTCTCAAAATTATCTGACGTAGAACATATAGTTAAAGAATTTACGGAGCAACTGCATTGGAATAGCTGAATCCATGAATCCACAAAGATCAAAGATAGAACGGTTGAAAAGCGGTTTTGCTTAAGGGAGCAAAGACATTAAACAACTTAAGCAACTCGAAATCTGAATTATATATATAGCAAATAAACATATAAATTATTAGCTATTAGATGTATTAAAGTAATTTAAATCATTAGGTCATATTAAATATATTATATATATAAGTAACACAATATAAAATCTTATATATTTTTTTCTTACTCATAAATTGGCCCTATTTGAGAAGAGGGTTTGAGGCTAAAATAGTTCATAAAAACAAAATAAGCTAAAATAATCAATAAGAAAAATGTCACATTCAAACCATAATCATTTTATTTTTTTCTCTCATAACTATCAAATCAATTATAAAAAAAGCTAACTATCTTTTCAAACACAACCTTTTTTAGTCAGGCTAAAATAGTTAAAAAATCAATTCAAATAACCAAGTTCCCAAATTGTGATGACCACCATAGTGGCATCTATTTTATATTATATAAATTATTTGTTTTGAAGTTATTAATGATTTTATAAAAAAATATATATAAATAGAATCTAATTTTAACAAATTAATTAACTTAGCTGCATTAAAAAAGCGGAAGAGGGGAACTAAAATTTATATAAAATTCGGGCAATTCAGGTTTAAGTCAGGTCGGGCTTAGTTATACAATTTCGGATTGAAATTTAGACTTGGACAGCTCTTAACATAACTTGGGTTGAGCTTAAACAGCCTTTCAACCCGTCCAAACCCGCATGAGTTGCACCCTAGCTTTGCCTTACATAACACAGCAACAATCCTTTGCTAATCCATTTTGTTTATGCCCTGAGCCTTGAGGAATCCATTTTAGCATTTCTAATTTAGTTCACCTTTCTTTTGTTTCAGATTTCGAACAAAAATGACCGACTAACAAAAGCAATTCAGTTCGTTTGTGCAAAACAAAAATAGAAAGTGAAAACTGAACACCAAACCATTTATTTGTCCAATAGCAGTTAATTAAACAACACAAATTTTATTGTCAATGGAAAGTTGGCAAAACCCACGACACGTGAGTTCAATATACCCATTTTCCATCAAACAAAATTTACAAAGAGACAAACAAAAAAAATTCATTCTGAATCAACAAAATTAACATATCTCATTCGCTTACAAGAATGCATCAATTGACAATCATAAGCAGTTGTGGCTTATACTTTAAACTATTTCCTAATTGCAGGTTCAAGCTCAAGAAATCAAGGAGAAAAATTCCTCCAATTGGGTCTCACTCACCGTAACTCCAAGTTTCTGACTGTGGACTGCATCAATCAAATCAATTCCTATATCTTTCGCCAAGCCTGCTGTAGAGATCTCAATGTACTCATTCACATGTGTTTAAGAACTTCTCAACAAGAGTCCTCCTCCTCCCCAAAAAACAAGATCTAATTTCACCAGTCCCTGGATGGATCATTGAGTCACTCAAACCAGTCACATATAGACTCAAGAAACTTCTCTGTCCCCTCCGGACTCGCTGCGATCGAACTAGTTGGAGGGAAAGAAAGTGCCATTGCCCAAGTCATAAGAACAATCCCAAATAAGTTCTACAAGCTCACTTTCTCCATTGGAGATGCCAAGAATGTAACACCCCAAAAAATATTGACATCTGATATATCTAGATTAACTCATAGGCAAAATCTAAATCTAATTACTTCTCATGATTACATAGAAGAACATTGAATAATATAGACATTTCAATAGTCAACATTCATACTAAATCACTATTTTTTTTTCTATTAATGATATCCAACATGAGATTTCACAAAGAGAGACCACTTGCATTAATACATTCATCATCCTTAAGATATGAGTTTATAGCATGTGATAATAACAAATTAAAGCAACAAAATACAAATTTATGCCTTAACGGCTACAAGTTCCAAGGCTTTGCCCAATTGCAACAAAATGGTTTTCAAACCCATACATAGATAGCCCTTGGCTTGCAAGAACACAAAACAAATAAATAATGGAGCCTTGTGCTCCAAAAGATCCTCCACGTCTTCACTTTGGCGGAGGCACACCACAATCGCCTGAAAAATGGTTTCCACTAAAGGATGAGCATAAAGCCCAGCAGAGATAATCTAAATAAAGTGCACGCAATTTAACAATATCATGAGGTGCAATGCATATGAGATGCCAATGCCAAAAATCATAGGTTTTCTCATTTCAAAATTCTCATGCCATGCACTTGTTTAAAAGCATAACCAATTTAATTATCCATTTCATAGAACAAAGGGCGATAAATACAACACTGGTAATTCCTAGGCTAGTGTTTGCAAGTAGGCATATCGAGCGCTACCAAATCCCCACTTTACCGGTCTCTCACTAGAAGGGTAGTGGTACCTCCTCTTCGCGTGTTTTTGGTCTTTCACCCTGGACACTCAGGCCAACTTAACCAATGTCAAACTACACCCCCTATCTGGACTTACCAAACGCATTTACCCCATAACTCAACACATTTCAAATATTCCCAAAGAATCAATTTGAAACAAAACCAATTTCTCAAATCCAATGCGAGAATTTAATCATCAGATTATGCAATGTTCAACGCCATGCATGAATTTGAAAATATTTCAATTTACCTATTTCACATGCAACTTCTATAATAATCAATACAACCCTCCACGGTTGCCCAAACAATCATCTCTATATAAAATATAAACTTCAAGAGATAAATCTAACTCATAATCTCATATTTCAATCATTTCAACATAATCACATGTTCAATCTCCTCTTTCCCAACTCAGTCAAGAATCATAGTAGTAAAAAAAAAATCATCAATCTTCCCTTTTTATTCAAACTCAAGAATTCATCAATAATTTTCATAATGCCAAAAATAACATAGGTTTCTTTCAATAATTCTCAGTACCTCAACATAATAATATTTTCATATCTTTCTCAAAAGTTCAATATTTTCAAATTTAACAATTTTCAAAAGAAACCTCAATGGTTTTCAATATTCCCAATAACATTCTCATCAATCTCATCCCTATAAACATGCACTTTCAAATTCTCATTTGTTCAAATAAACATATATTTTTAACTTTTGTAACCTTTTCACAAACTCATTCCAAAAATCTAAATCTTAACATTTAAATTTCTAGGTTTTATTAAAATTTGGGGATTTCTCAAAAATAAAATAAAACAGAATAAAATATATTCCTCAACATCCATGAGTCATACAAAAAAAAAAAAAAAAAAAAAAAAAAACAAACAAACAAACAAACACAACTAGCAATGGATTTTCAAAAAAAGTTGAGAACCTCCCTCTTTTTATACATTTAATATACCATTAATAAAATCCTAATCTTTTCAAAAATCACAATATCAAAATAACACATAATAAAGCTAAAACACATACAATGTTTAGAAAATCCCTACCTCAAAAGCTAAAAGAGGAAACAAGCAAAAATCTCAATTTTCGACTTTGTCGGATTTTGATCTCCACCAGTCAAAATGCTCCTCTTGAAATGCTCTAAGAACTATAGGCAAAAAGTTTATAGATTTTGCTAGATCACGAAAAGAAATGAGGGTTTGTGGTGGTGTTTTGAAAGAGATGAGAGAAATGAGGGAGTAGCGGGAGAGAGCCGGAAGAGAGAGAGAGACAGTGGTACTCTGATTCAAAACAAGAAAGAAAAGAGTGAAGGAGATGGGAAGGGAGTAGCCCCACATGGGTTACTCTTCTATCGTTATTATTATATTTTATTTTATTATATTTAAATATCTATGAATCTATATATGTGTGTATATATATCAATTAAAAGCATATTTTAACATCATTAATGACAAAAAACGATATCATTAACCCTCACCATTGTTTACCGAATAACCACTGATTACCGTTAAACTGAAACTGATTATGACTGATAAGCTACATAAATTGCATTCTTAGTTAAAATAAAAAAAAGTTGATTATTGCTTGGGTTAAGAAAATGAATAAATATTTATTAATAAATCTATTTTTTGTTTAATTACACATGATAAATAAATATGCATAAGTAATCCATTTCTTAGTACATTTTTCTTTCTCCTAAAGACAACACCCTAAAGTTCGTATAAGCTTGTGTTTGGGCTACTATTCCAACATGGGTTAGGGGGGTCTTTTGCAGGATTTTAAATAGTGCCCCATACATAACATACGAACTAATATGTATCGGGATTTTAGACAAACATTTTCCTCAGCCTTATTTGAGCACACCACCGAACTAGAGAGAGAGGAAGTGAGAGAGTTGAATTGTTCTAGAGAATTGGCTTGAAAGGCTTGAAGAGATCATAGGAGATTTGCCTAATTGGACTTCTACACTTGTAATTGAAGCTCTAGGTAAGGAATTCAACCTCTCATTGATGTGTTTAAGCTTATTCATGCAAGATTTTTGAGCCTCTAGTGATTTAAGTCTACAATTGGTTCAATAGTGTTGAATTATAGCTTAATCTTTGCATGCATGGCATACTCTTACATTTTTGAGGTTGTTCTTCATGGGTTTTTGCATGCATGTCCATGTTAATGCTTAGGACCATGTTTTCATCTTGTTTTTGGAACAATTGGCTCCCTAGAGCATGAAATTGAAGCTTTGAATTGGTTTGAATTCATGCATGTTTGCATGTTCTTCTTGTTCATGAAATTGGTTTGAAATTGAGTTTGAATTAAACACCCTTGGGCTTTGATTTCTCAAATTGAGTTTTGAATCATGTTTGACTATGAGTTTATAAGAGTTTTCCAGAAAATGGGCCTAAGAGGATCGATTTTGATGCATTTAAACTTGGTTTTTGGCTTGAAGGTGCAATCTGGGTTTTCCAGATTTTACACTCTCGCTCGAGCGGGGAATCCGAGCATCCAGCATCTTGGCACTGTTTTACAGTCCGCTCGAGCGGAGGATTGGACGCTCGAGCGGAGGCATGTGTATCACGCTCGAGCGGGCGTCGAGCGCCCGTCGGGCGGAGATTTCACCCATCCAGTACTTTTACAGTAAGTTCGAGTGGGGGATTTGACGCTCGAGCGTGTACCTTTGTTGCATGTCTGCTCGAGCGGGGAAACCTGAGCTCGAGCGGGACTCTGTTTTTCTGAAAATCCTAAAATTGTTTTCTGAGCACATCTTTGCATCCTCATCCAATCCTAGGCATTCTTAGGCCTAGTTTAAGACATCTTGTTGAGGATATAGATGTAGAACACACCGAGGCAATTAGGGATTAAGTTCTTATCTTTCCCAACTGTGTAGCTTAGTGTGTGTTCATTCTGTAAACTGTGTAGGGTTGGCGATTGGGGACGCGCTCTAGTTTACTGTAGCCCAGAACTCTGTGAGTAACAATTGTGTAAAGATATGTTCAAAAATGATTATCTTCTAAACAATTGAACTGTACTGCTTTCTGAACTGATTACTGTTAACTGATTGAATGTATGTCCTATATTCTGAACTGTATTGTGGCATCCTTAGCACCTACTGTTATTAACTGTTACTGTTACAGAGATCTCTGTCGAGTCACTCGTTGGAACCACTACTGTTTACTGACTGATGGCCATCATTTACTGTTCGGTCTTTTAAGACCTACTGTTTACTGTACTGCTATGCTAAGGGATGTACCACATATGACTGAATGATTGATATACTGAATCAATGAACTGTTTTCATTACTGTAAGGACATTCATTCTTAACCCCTTTACGCACTGTGTTATTCACTGGGCTTTAGCTCACTGCTCATATATATATGTAGGTGTACAGGCACCAGAACGCGGCTAGAAGCGTCGGGATAAACTCCAGTTTTGTCAAGCCAACTACTGTGCCTCACTGCGAGGTTCTGAGCCTGCCATGCTATGGCTTAGGGGTCTTTTATTTCCCCTTCTGTCTCTGTACCTGTTT